ACCTTGCACAGGGTGGCGTCTGTGCTGTTATAGAGTTGCATTTTAGTGAAATACCCGTTAAGGTGGTCCTCGGGGTCTCCAGTTCCGTCATAGGCGATGAGCGGGGGAATGTTTGTTCCAGCGGGCTCCGACAGTATGCAACGTGCTAGAGGCTTCCTCACGGGGCAGTGGCGTGATAGGCGCCCCAAAATTCCTCCACTCCACCCGCTAGCATCCGGCCCCCCATGATCGCGTTGGCGCCATAGATTTGGGTGCCTCAGACACCCTGATTCACTCTCCGTCTCCTCCATCCTTTCCCTCTTTTTTGTCGGGCTGGGCGTCATCCATTCACTCCTCTTCAAGGCGTCCACTTCCCGTCGCAGCGCCTCGATTGCCTCGTCCTGATCCTCGATGATCCGGAACAATTCTTTTTTCGTGACCGAGGCGCCTTCGGATCCCCGAAACATGCCATCACTTTCCTCACCTTCTTCCATCTCGGGCGTCTGCCCTCTCATTCGCTCCGATTGTTCCTCTGTAATTTCTTCCCTTTCTTCATTCATCGGCGCCTCTTCACTCATGACTCCTGGCTATATTTCCCTTCCTGGCACGCCAATTGTTTGTGACACGTTACCCTCGTATGACTCTCCAGAATCCTCTCTCGCAAGGCGCCGGTCTGCACACACGAACAAGGTGGGGGCGCTTGGGCCCGTTAATCCTCCGACACCCAAGTTAGTTTCAAGGAAGAGAGCAGTGTCTCAAAGCTAGAGTTTAGTGAGAGAGAGTCCAACATGTGTAAATGCTACCAACTGCCCCTATTTATACTCACCAGAGTTCGAGGTTGATCTCCTCCACATCACTGTCTCCATTTAATGTTTTGTACTCTTCTGTTCAGATATCCCAACTGCCTTGTCAGGCTGCTGGCACGTGACAGGCGCCCGCAGACGCTGGACCACATGACAGCCTGGCCCCTTTGGCTTCTAGTGACTTGTCCTTATGTGCCCCCCCCCCCACCTTGCTTGGGCCTTGCCCCCCAATTCGGCTGTTTGGAAGCCCAAGTTGTCGCCCATTGGGCCTTGCTCATAATACCCCCAACAGTTTCATAATGATTTCTTACTAAATCTCGTTTTCCAAGGTTAATTGCATTGTTGGTCACTGAGATTATAAAAAACGTTCAAGTTTGGTCACTCGAAATATTTAAATCCATTGGTGGTACTTCAGTTTACTGAAACCGTTCACGTTTGGTCACTCTCCGTTCAATTTCGTTAACTTTTGCTTATGTGGCGGTCAACTCTAAAAGTTGACCGTTAAATGCGTGACGTGACAATTTAAAAATAATAAAATTATATTTTTTTAAAATTGCCATCTCCTTTTAGAGTTGACCGCCATGTAAGCAAAAGTTAACGAAATTGGACGGAGAGTGACCAAACGTGAACGGTTTCAGTAAACTAAAGTACCACCAATGGATTTAAATATTTCGAGTGACCAAACTTGAACGTTTTTTACAATCTCGGTGACCAACCATGCAATTAACCTAGTTTTCCATTTATATAATTAACAAAAGTCTTTCGTTTGGCTTTTATTAATTAAAATGACAAAAATATCATTCCTAAAATTACTCAGAAGGCTCGAAATTTAGAATTAAACACATTCTCATGAAGAACCTCTTTATATTAGTGTTAGGATTACTCAATGCCATACTCTTTATATATATATTCGGATCGTTGTTTTCTCATTTTGAGTGATTTTTTTTTGTCAACATAAATCTTGTCAGATTTACAAGGTAATGAATGATAAGGGTGGCTACAAAGATCAGCACACTCACTTATCAAATTACAAATAGAACAGATAGGAAAAGTCAAACAACAAAGGTGGTAGATCAGGAAAGAAAGCGTAAGGCTTGTTTCGCCACTGAATGGGCAGCCCGATTCGCATCTCGAGGTGTGAATTGTAAAATGACCTTAGGCAACTGTAATAATAAGGCATGAACCTCATAAAAATAGCATTTGTACGAGCATCATCAGATATATTGCCCGAGACTAATTTGTCATGTCAATGCCACCGTTGTAGCAAATACAGTGCTTCCCTTATAGCTAGCAGCTCAACCAATCATGGGTCAGAGATATCGCGGAGAAAAGAACCGAACGTGAAGGACGGAACAGCTCCTGTAAAACCGACTATACCAATGACACCAGACTGGTGGTTAGAAGGTGCACCATCAACAAGCCAAAACGGAGGCCCTGATAAGTGCCACGTAAAACGTCCGGAGAAGCCCTGTTGCGCCGCGCCATGATTGGTTGGGGTGGTCATTCTGAGTGATTTAATTTAACGATTAAGAGAAAGTCGGATCAGACCACAAAATTAAAAAGAAAAAGAAAAAGAAATGAGAAGAAAGTCCATGGGACATGGGATCCACAACGAGATTCACAAAATTAACTAGCAATCTGTATTAAGTATTAACACACCGCTCAATGATAGTAGAGGCAGCAAGTCGAATATTCTGATTGGTTGGTGCAGAAATTTGTATATTGAGGATTTTTTACAAACTGAGGAATTAGAATCCCCTTATTAAAATGAATTCAACATTTTCTTCTCATAAGGCTAAATCGCCCGTAAACAAACAATCAAGTAGTTTAGATCGCAAGATGAGAGAGGAAGCAAGCTATATATATAGATGAAAATTAAACACTAAAGGGATGGTTTGGTTTTGAGATAATTTAGTTAGTAAAACACGGTACGGGAAAGTTACGTAAAAAATACGTATGGGTATTTTATGTCGTCTCTAAGCTAATGTTACGTTTGATAGTACGTTAATAGTCATAAATACATTAAAATTAAATAAATATATAAATAATAGTAAAGTTCACAATTTAATTCATTAAATAAGGATATTAAACGTTTTATACGGGTTTTATACGTGTTTAGTACGGGAGTCATCAAATGAACGGAAAAAAATCAAACGGCTTGACAATAATACGGATACGAAAGTTTTAAACGAATAAAATACGTATGGCTACACATACGTGTATTAAACGGAGTATTTACTAACTATTACTGTTTGTGCCAACTAGCTCAGGACACGAACAATGATATTTGTTGTGTGGGTCGACTCGTTATTCTTTAGTCTGATCTCGTCGGGAGGGAGAGAACCTGTGAAAGAGCCGGGGTTGCCCCCCGGATTAAGCTCCGACGATCATGTCAGTGTATGTTTGTGGAGAGAGTTGAGAGAATAGATAGAGAGACAAAGTGTAGAGAGATGGTAGAAAGTGGAAAGTGAGGAGAGAGAGGAAGTCCCCTTAATTGGTAGGTTTCATACCTTTATATACTCGTAGCGGGTTTAGAGCGTCATACGTTGTCGATTGGACGCGGTATTACTTAGTCTCTGCGGGGAGTCTCTTAGCAACACCCCCAACAATTGCCCCCCAAGCTGGTGGTGAGTTTTAACTCATCACTAGCTTATATTTTATTTTTTAAATCTTCGTCGGTAATTTTGGGTGGGGCCCTATGTACCCCAGTTGCCCCCCAGCTGGTGGCGCGTTTGACTGACGCGGTGCCAGCTTCTTGCGTCTTGCCCCCCATCAGCGCCATTAACGCTCATGGAAGTAAAATATTTCAAATTTAATAATGATAGAGTACTTAGCTTTATATTGGTACCGTGGCGGCAAGAGTAGTTGAAAACCAGACGCTGCGCCATCAAATCACTAAGCGCGTATAAAACCCACTGGTGATGTTGCTTGTCTAGCGGAGGAAGGACGCGAGTTCAATTCCTGTCGGCGGCAATAATATTTTTGTGGGCGTTGGACTTGGATCCGCGAGTGCAAGCCAGTTAAGCGGGCGGGCGTTGGACTTGGGCCGCAAGTTGTACTTGGTGCGGTTGCTTTGTGGGTCGGGGCTTGAAGAGTTGTTGAAATAATAGTGTTGCGCCTAAGGATCACAAGGCGCGAATGCAGCCTACTGGTGATGTTGCTTGTCTGGCGGAGGAAGGACGTGAGTTCAATTCCCGGCGGCGTCAATAATATTTTTGACGCGGAGAGTGGCGCGGGCTTGTTAGGCGGATCTAAGCCGGCGGGGGCCTGGGCCGCGCGCCGCGCGAGTGTGGGCTGGCCAGGTGACAATCGGCCGCGAGATGGAGTTGGGCGGGGGCCTGGGGCTGCGCGGGTGTGGGCTGGCATAGTGAGTAGTGGCGCGGGCTTGTTAGGCGGATCTAAGTGGGCGGGGGCCTGGGCCGCGCGCCGCGCGAGTGTGGGCTGGCCAGGTGAAATGGGCCGTGAGATGGAGTTGGGCGGGGGCCTGGGGCTGCGCGAGTGTGGGCTGGCATAGTGAGTAGCGGCTGGGCTCTTCAAAAAATTATATATATATTTACGCAAATAATTCATGATTATTGCTTCTTTGTGTTCCGTCGAACTGAGTGGGCGCGAATAGTGCGGAACTATTGCTATTTTTTTTTTTGTTCTTTATGAACTGAATGGGCGCGAATAGTGCTGGACTATTGCTATTTTTTGTTCTTTCGAACTGAGTGGGCGCGAATAGTGCTGGACTATTGCTATTTTTTGTTCTTTCGAACTGAATGTGCGCGAATAGTGCTGGACTATTGCTATTTTTTGTTCTTTCGAATTGAGTGGGCGTGAATGTTAAAATTCAAACGCCACACCATTGAAACACAAAGCTCTGTTGTAGCCTGTTGGTAAGGATGCATGCACGCGAGTCATTGAACCTTGGTTCGAATCCCCAATCACGGGCATGATTTTTGTGATGTTTTGCGCTCTACGGTCTCACTCCGTTGCGCGGGCCGGAAGTATGTAGGTGGGGCGGACAAGCGCTCGTCAGTTGTTGGACTTGCAGCGTGTTGTTGGGCCGCGAGTTGAGCCTCTTGCAGTGCGGGCCGCGATTAGTTGAAAATCAGGTATTGCGCCATTGAGACACAAAGATTGCATGTAGCCATCTGGTTATGTTGCTTTGCCCGTGAGTGACTGAACCCTGGTTCGAATCCCACATTAAGCGCTTCCTTTTTTTAGTTGAGGCGCCTATTCTCTCTTGGGCTTGACAACGCTATAGGACATGCCAACGTTGCGCGGGAGCGGGCCAGATAGAAGTGGGCCGCGAGTTGATGATTGGCCCACTTGAGCGGACGTTGGTGAACGGCTCGCGTCGCGCGAGCCCATGTAGAAGGACTCTTTGGCGGATTTGGGCGAGCTGAAGAGGACTGACGGGTGGAGCGGGCCTTGAAGGCAATTGTTTGTTATCGTGGACGCGGAGAGATTTGAGCGCGCCGGGAAGTTGATGATGGGGTAAGCGCCGGAGGGATCAGAGCGCTTGGCGGACCGAGCGCTTTGTTGAGCGGAAGTGCTTCCGCTCAAGATCTCTATTTGTGGACCTCGATTTCTGTGCATCTCGATTTCTGTGCCCTGTGCTTTTCTGACAAGGAGTGGAGGTAGCGTATTCTTGGGAGAAACGTCGACGAAGACAGCGACAAGACTTCTTCATCTTTGCTCTTTGGAGGCCCAGGGTCGGTCACAAATCTGGCCTGCTCCCTCTTTTTTTGTTTTTTTTTTCACTATTTCCTTGCTTGTTTTTGGTGAAGTTGGTGCTATTGAGGAGAGGTTTCTGGCGGAATGAGTTGGAGGAAGAGCAAATATTGACTTGTTACATTGTTGTCGCCGGCGGTGGATGGTGGGTGGGGAAGCTTTTTTCTTTCTCACAGAGGTAGTCATGAGATCATCGTCGCCGTCACCCCTCGTCCTTCGGAGATCAGACGAAGAAAATTGTTGAATCGGCCCCACGGTGGGCGCCAATTGTTTGTGCCAACTAGCTCAGGACACGAACAATGATATTTGTTGTGTGGGTCGACTCGTCATTCTTTAGTCTGATCTCGTCGGGAGGGAGAGAACCTGTGAAAGAGCCGGGGTTGCCCCCCGGATTAAGCTCCGACGATCATGTCAGTGTATGTTTGTGGAGAGAGTTGAGAGAATAGATAGAGAGACAAAGTGTAGAGAGATGGTAGAAAGTGGAAAGTGAGGAGAGAGAGGAAGTCCCCTTAATTGGTAAGTTTCATACCTTTATATACTCGTAGCGGGTTTAGAGCGTCATACGTTGTCGATTGGACGCGGTATTACTTAGTCTCTGCGGGGAGTCTCTTAGCAACACCCCCAACAATTACAATACATGCATTGTCCACAATGCATTGTTTTTATTAATTTTCTGCACAAACAATACATGCATTGTTTGCTTGATTTGATACAAACTACCACTCAAAATAAGTGATAATTAAATCTCAAGTTTTGATTGAGATTGTTGAGTTTTCTTTTGTTCTAACGATGTCCCTACTTTTTTATGTATGTTGTTTCTTTAATATTAAAAACAAATGGTGAAAGTGACATTTCACTCAAAAAGTAATACAACTTATTTCAATATTTCAATAACTATCACAGAAACCAAACAATGTAAAGTACAATACAGCAATTTTCTTATATATATATATATATATTATTATACATGTATTGATAACAATACATTAATTTAACTATCGCCAAAACCGGAAGAGTTTATCAGCACTAACTTTGCTGTCCTACCTAATTCGAGCGTCGAGTGTCATCACATAAACCGCTTGATCGTCATAACACATAATACCAAAATTACCATCATCAATCTCTTTGTATTTAATTTGTCACATATGCATTACCTACGCATCAAGCACATAGATGGAAATTAATCAAGCATATTGTCAATATTGTGATACTAGTCCATGCAAAAGGACAAAGAGCATTTGTAATAGCTGGATAAACTATGCCAACAATTACAGTTCGATTTTGATTAAGGCCCATAAGAGTCCCACTTGTGCCTAGACTGCCACTGCTGGCCTGCCTTCTACCAGAAGTCTTTACAAGAACAAGTACCATCCCTGAAATGATGGTACCTCACACGATCTCTCAGAACAATCTCCCGGCCATAAACTCGAGAGATAAGCTTAATCGCCGAATGACAATCATCACAAACCCTCAAGTTCTTCACCACCCTTATGGTCTCCCCTGGCTTCGTGCTGATGAACCCGAATGCAATCGCCAGCTTCTCACTGTGATACTGCAGCGCAGTCTCTTTCTCCTCCTCCTCGATATTGAACAACACCTGCGAAGTATTCGGCACATAGCCTTCCATCTCAAGCCTCTCGATCATCACTTTAAGCGTCGAGTAAATCTCCTTCATCTTCGGGTGACACCCTTCCCCCATCTTGAACTCGTGGACGCAACCCCCCAGCTCGATCATGCTGCTCCCGGGGTTCGTCTTAACTCCTCTCTCCTTCATCAGCTTCCTAACTTCAGCAACGTCGTCCCATCTCTCGGCCTTGGCGTAGATGTTCGACAGCAATGCGTATCGCCCACTGTTGTTCGGCTCCAGCTCGAGGAGAAGTCTCCCGATTCTCTCGCCTAGCTCTGAATTTCCATGAATCCTGCAAGCGCCTAAAAGGGATCCATAAACGGCAGGGTTTGGTTCTATTGGCATGGAGTTGACGAGCTCCTCCGCTTCCTCTAATCGTCCTGATCTTCCTAGGCAATCCACCAAACATCCATAGTGCTCAACTTCTGGTTCAATGTTGTATACATTCTCCATGGAGTCGAAAAGCTTCAGAGCTTGTTCTACTGCTCCTGAATGAGCACAAGCGTTGAGAACTCCTATGAATGTGATCCCATTGGGACGGAACTTCCTCCGCTGCATCTCGAAGAAGAGCTCCACTGCGTCATCAGCCCTACCGTGCATTGCAAGCCCTTTGATCATGGCGTTCCATGAGAAAACTTCCTTCTCCTTCATGCTCTCAAAGACCTCCCACGCCATGTCCAGCCGCCCGCATTTCGCGTACATGTCGAGCAATGCAGTTCCCAATACGGCATCCATGACAATCGATTTCTTCTCCTTCCTAACGTAGGCATGAACCCATCGACCATGGTCGAGAGCACCAAGATGAGCACAAGCGGCGAGAACGCTCGTCAACACAAACTTACTCGGCCGGATTCTCTCGCTCTGCATCGTATTGAAAACCTCCAAAGCCTCTTTGTAAAATCCGGACTTAACGTACCCGTCAATCACCACGCTCCACGAAATCTCATCTCTGTCGGGCATTTCATCGAACAGATTGCGGGCATCCTCAATCTTCCCGCGCCTCGCCAGCCCGCTCACCATCGCGTTCCAAGACCCAACATTTCTTCTTCCACTCTCACCCATTTCATCAAACACCTCCTCCGCACTCCCCACATCCCCGCATCTGAAATACCCATCAATCATCGCATTCCAACACACGGCGTCGTCGTCGTCTTCATCATCGAGCATCTTCCTCGCGTCCGCCGCCATCCCGAAATACCCGTACATCCGAATCCCCGCGCTCTTCACATGCCCATCCCCAGCAAACCCTAGCTTCACCACATGGCAATGAACTTGCTTCCCTTCTCCAACAACCCCACCGTCGCCGCAGGCCTTAAGCAGGGTCGGGTAAGTGAACTTGTTGGGCTTGGCGTCGTTCATTATCAGTTCGTAGTACAGCCACACGGCCTTCCGCGGCTCGCCGTTGTCGAGGCAGGCTTTGATTAGGACGTTGTGGACGAAGACGTTTGGAGAAGGGACGTTGCGGAAGAGTTGGATGGCTGAATCGAGGTTGTGGAAGCGCGGATTGGCGTAGTATTTGAGGAGCGTGCCGGAGACGAAGTGGTCGTGGAAATGGCCGGTTTTGAGGACGAGGGCGTGGATTTGGGCGAGGGATTGGAGGGAAGAAGTGGCGGTCTTGGAATTGAGGAGGTCTAAGATTGATTTCTGGGTCGGGATGGAGACGATGGTGGGTTGGGATTGCGGCGGCAGCGGCGGGAGATGGTGTTGGTGGTGGCGACGATGATAAGGCGGGGAATATGTGGTGGCTGCGTTCATTATCTCCGGCGAGTGAGGAGAATACTTTCTGCCCAATGGTTTATCTTTCTGTACAGTCACATTTTCGTGTATTAAATATTTTACATCTGAAACTGAAAAAAGAAAACCCCAAGGCATTTCCTGTGCATCAAGACTGCTTTCACTGCACATTCAGACTCACAAACACTATTTCAACTCAGATGGGGCTCCAGTGCGGGAGGTGCAGGGGAACCCTGATTGATTCCTCACGAGATTGTGGTGGTTCAGTTGCTTTTGGAAATCGTTTGCCTTCTGGTTAGGGGTCCTTTCTGTATCCCTCGCACGCGTTGATCACTCTGCTCCATTTTTTGTTGCTCTTATAGAAAACTGTGCCCAATTGGAGAGAGAGAGAGAGAGAGTGACATAGGTAGTGAGGCTACGGCAGGGTGACGAGATACCCAATTTGTTGTCAGTCATAAAGCAATCTTGAACTCTGACAGAAAGAGAGATATTTTGAGTGTTATTTAGTGGATCCAAATGCCACGATAGTCTTTTATTTTTATCCATTCATTTAACCTACCCAACTCTACCTTCTCTCTCTTTGGAAACTGAAATAATACTTGCGAGGTGATAATATCAGCCTAGCCATCTTGCTATCCCTCTCCTTCCCTCCCTGCCTCTCTCTCTCTCCTCTACTTCCAACAGAGAGGAGTATTTGGATCTGGGGAATTTAACCGACGACCACCACCAAAATCCATTCCACCCCCATCAATCAGAATCAGAGCGATCATCGTGATTTGCTTCAAAGCTTTAACCGAAACGGAGGCGGCAGCAGCGGCCTCTATATCCTTATCTCGACAATCTTCTTTGATGGAGATCCAGATTCCGATCTCCCCGCTAATCGCAAGTAAGTATCAGAGGTTTTGTTTTATAAGGTTGTGATTTCCTTCATTCAATTTCCCCCATTTTTTTAAAATCCTTTCTCGGCTTTGTTATTTCACTCTTTCGTTTAGGGGTCTACAATCTGGGGAAGACCACCGTGATGCAAGTCAAGTCCGCTCGGCTATCTCTTTGTCCAAGAAAACGATCTAAAGCTACAGATCCGTACCGGTTGAGGAATCCCTTTGTCTTCTAGAAACCGGTAAGCAAGTCGTCCTATTTATTTCTTTACTCAGTTTCAAGTAGCTTATTTTCTTTTCTTCTCAGACTTGCACGACCGGAAATACATGATCTCGAGCTAATCAGCTGGAGTATTATGGTTGGCAGTTGATCGATCTGCCGTTGTTGAGAATGGTGTAGGAAAGAGTACTCTCAAGGCGACCGTGATACTGATCAAAGAAGGTTTGAAGGCTTTCATCTTCTCCGTAAAATAGTAGGAAATTATTGTATTTGGATTCTATTCCCTCTTTATAATTTTTCTGGCGATTTACGGATTATTCCTTTTCTTTTCATGTATTTGTGGTGTCTGGGTTGGGGATCTAATGCTGCAAGGAAGGACAGAGGTTGCAGGTGGAAGGTCATTCTTAATTCTCCTTTTCTGTTGATTGCAGTTGTATATCGGGTCAAGTATTTGCCTTATGATGCTAATACCAAATTCATCATTTTCCTAGGGTCATGTTGTCTTGTTCGTTGCCTGACGAGTTCCATCTGTTCAGAGGTTCTCCATGCTTTCAACTTCCTTGAGTGGAAATAACTTTTGCTAATCTTTTTGGTAGGTTTTTCCTTCTCTTTTAAGTATTTGAATGGTGATCCACGAGTTATTGCACCTTGAGTAGAATTAGAATCCAGTCTTACTATTTGTTAACCTTTTTTCCTGTATTGTACTTGAATGGTGACCCATGAATTATTACGCCGTGGCAGAACAGGTGTTTCCTTTGCAATTACTACTGTTTTGAATATATGTTTTGAGTTGGATGAGGGCTTCTAAGTTATGAAAGAGTGAGAAATGACCAAAGACTGTATGCTATATTTCATTAATTTTAATATTCGGTATTTCTTTATATTTCGGTATATACCAATCTCAATATCGTAATCCCGACTACCGAATAACACTCCAAAATGAATCTCAATCCCAATCCCTAAAATATAAGCCGGTATTCGATAATACCAAATAATGATAAATTCGGTACGATATTCGGTATATCACAAATATCGTTACCAAACTTCCAGCCCTAGCCCTAATGGCTAAAATAGTCACTTAATTATACATAGATAATTCCCTCATTATTTGACAACTCTTTACAAAACTCATTTTGTTAATACAATATGTTTAGTGGTTGCTTAATCATTCCATATTTCATTTTGTTGGTTTAGTTTGTTAATGTGCCATCATGTTTTTCTAGTGTATTGTTATTATACTTAAGATTTTTTCTCATTTGTTTTGCACGAGTGTTGGCACCACATCATTGTTTATTTTTATATGGTTTTATAATGGTTTGTGGAACTAGTATGTGTGTTCGTATATTTAATTTGTAATTTTGAAATATATGCTTGCTAGTAAGGGATAAACCATTGTTAATGAATCACCATTATTAATTAGAGACATCCCATTTTAATTGATATGCTTGCTGGTAAGAGATTGAAGTTGGTACAAAGGTTGAAGTATAGATAATAAGTTTCTCATGTGATTGTTCTCCCACTTATTTGGAAAATGCTCTATACATTTATTTTTAGATTTGACTTACTCTGTAGAGATTTTTCATTTGTCATTCAAATCTCAAGTAGGGATGTCAATCAAACTCATGATTGTGGGTCCCGACAGCCCCTGACTCGGTCAACGCGGAGAATCCCCGCATTGACATGGGGTATGGATAAAGCTCGCAAAAAGTTTGATGAGTATGAGGCGGGTATGGTTTTAGCCTCCCCGGCCCCATACCCATACCTGCCTCACCAATAATATTTCTTCACATATAAAAAATACACGGATCAAATTGAAACCTATCAATGATAGTGAAGGTAACTTAAGACAATATATAGTAGAAATGTAATTGAATGCCCATTCAAATCAAAATCTAATTCCTTTACGTCAATTCTCGCTTCATTCGTTCACTTTTCCCTTTTGTTAACAAGATAACTATGTTAGTTAAGTATTACTTAGTAGATGTATTAGAGTTAGAAACTGGAAAATATTATACTCTATCTTATTGATAAATAGATATTATAGGATCATACGATTTGAACCATATTAAGAATGATTGTATATTTGTTGGCTTAATGATATAGTAGGTCTGTTTAGCGTTATAATTGAAAATTTACATGTAAAGTCTTAGGTATAATGATGTTGGATGTTCGGGCTGAGTATTACCCATGGGTACCCGAAAACCCACGGGTATGGGGATGGGTTTGCAAAACCTTCTCCTGCATGGGTATGGGGCGGGTACGAGTTTGAATATTTGAAAGTGAGGATGGAGATGTTTTAGACAAACCCACCCCATTGTCATCCCGAATTCCAAGTTTGTTTGCTTAGGTGTATTGTGATTGATGAACACCCCTAATTGTGATTGATGAGGTTTATTGTTATTGTTGTCATGAAGATATTAAAAAGTAGAATTAATTGGTACAATTGTGTCATCTTCAACGGGTTGCATTACTACGAAACTCCTATTGTCAATTATTTTCTTAGTATAAGTAGAGGGTAACTATATTATTTTGTCGATCGTTCGCAGGTAAAATGTTCACTGAACACACTTTATAGCTTCCAAAATGCATGTGTAAGTTAAGATAATTATGTCATCCGATCCATCGTTTATTGGAAGCTAGTTTAATTCTTTTTTATTAAGAGTGAACATGTCATTTGATAAAAAAATAAAATTTATGCTTTTGTTGATATAAAAAATCACAATTACATGAACATTTTAAAATATTTTTTCAAAAATTTCGAAGAGTTAAAACTTAAAATCTTGTTTAGAAAAACTTAAAATATTCTATTTAAGAGTTATAACTTCGGATGATTTGAAATATAGATTATAGAAGTGTAGAAATTAATTTTCCAAAGTCCAAACCACCTGAAATAAATTTAGGGGTCATTTGGAAGTTGCGAATGTTAAATCGTTGCATTGTAATGAATCATCATAATGTAAATGCATGTATTGATACAATGGATGCATTTTAACAATACATTATTTGGTTGTTGAGATTCTACTTTATGCATTAATTTACACAAAATTTACTTTTATGGGAAAATGTCATATTGATGCTCAACTTTTAGAATAAGACAAAAACTATTAGGGATATAAATGGATAGAAAAAGTTGATACAAATCTAAAACCAACAATCTCAACTTTTAGTTGAGATTGTATAATGCATCACTTTTTTTTTATTGTTGGTGGGGACCTACATAAAACAATGCACACTCTGACACTTTCAAACATTGTATTATGCACATTTGATGTATTCAACAAATGCAACTCTAACAATCACAACTTCCAAACAACCTTTTAACATAATCATCGAACTAATGTGGCATTGTCAATACGCAACACTGCGTGGACCACCTTATTAAATTAGCCGCGAAACTACGTATTCTCGTTCTTAAGAAATATAATTAATTAATAAGATAAAAAGACTTTGATTTTTGGGGGCGCGTGCTTTGCCTATTTCCCAGACTATCTCATTTACCTTCATTTTTTCTTTTTCATTTTTGCTTCGGTAATCTTTTTGCCCACTCGTATTTCTTTCTTCCCCTTCCCTTTTCTTTCCAACCGGGCGTTCCTCGGCCAGCCGTTTCTCCCTCACCAATACGATATAACTTTCTTTAACGAATGGCCGAAACCCCGTCTCCCTCCTCCGCCGCCGCCGCCGCCGACGGTTCCTCTCAGTACTGGTGCTATCACTGCGAGAAGCGTGTCTCCGTTGAGACCGTCGCCAACCTCCCCGACGTCATCTGCCTCGACTGCAAGAATGGCTTTGTCGAATCCATCCCCGCCGGTCCTTCCACCCCGCCGTCCATCTCCGCCACTCCTTCCTTGATCTCCGATCCCTCTGACGAAACCTTCGGATCTCAGTTCCTCCAAATGCTTCGCATAATTGCGCAAGCCGCTCGCGAGGAGGAGGACGACGACGAAGCGCCGCCGCCGCATCTTCCTCCTCCCCCGCCTTCGCACCACCGCCGCGATGCTCCTCAATCGGAGGACGATTTCCTCCGAATCGACCTCGATGGATGGGACAACGGAGAGGAAGAAGAGGCCGAGGATGGAGAAGAAGGCGAAGAGGACGATGATGTCGAGGAGGAAGAAGACGAGGTGAATTCGAACGCGGACGGGAACGAGAACGAGGGAGAGAATCGGGGCGAAGTCGAGGATGGAGACGATCGATCTGATAGGGACGTCGACGTTGACGACGAGGAAGATCGGAGGAGGCGCCGCGAAATTCTCCGCCTCCGAATCCGCGATTTCGCGACAAGAACCAGGACAGGGAGGAACCGGATTTTGGATTGGGCGGAGATCCTGATGGGACTGGAGGATAACTCGATCGAATTCCGCCTCGAAGTCCCTGAATCAGATAGATACATAGGCAATCCAGAGGATTACGTCGATGCCGCCGGGTACGAGGCGCTGCTGCAGAACCTAGCCGACAGCGACGGCGGAAGGAAAGGCGCTCCTCCGGCGTCGAAATCAGCCGTGTCTGCTTTACCGGCGATTGAGGTGACATCTGAGTGGGAGACTTCGGTTTGTGCTGTTTGTAAAGATATGGTCAATGTTGGTGAGAAGGAAACGAAGTTGCCGTGTGGCCACGGATACCATGGAGACTGCATTGTGCCATGGCTGGGGTCGAGGAACTCTTGCCCGATTTGTAGGTTTGAACTGCCAACTGATGATACAGAGTACGAGGAGGAGAAGAGGAAGAAAGGGGTAGCTGCTGCCTCTGGTGGCTGGAGAGCTTCGGCTTCTGGTGGTGGAGATAGTTCAGGTTCCTCAATTTGATTGAGAAGTTGGTAAATGCTTTGCTTTCGAAGTCTCCTCCCTCCACCTTTTGTTTGTATGTAGTCTTGCAATGTTCTTGAAAACTCATGTTTGACGTTGATTTGCTTGTATGGATTAGAATCGAATGGGATGCGTTTTCCATTTGTCGTCCGGAATGTATATACACAAAGGGCAGGTTAGCTCAATCATGTGAGAATAGCCATCCTCTTCACATGGAAAAGCTCTTAGCATGTGGTGGCATTGCTGCTTGCTTCCTACTTCCTCTCTCAATCAAGTAAAGTTTGCAAGTTCTGTATTTGCATGAATAATATCTTGGCCATTGGGGTATATCAGTGGTATATGCATATCTTGTTTCTAGTTGGCTTCCCTTGTTGTCTTACATCAAGGCGCTGTCATATGATTTTGGTGGAGATTATGGAAGATGGGTCATGAAAGGTTGTTTGTAATTGATTTGTATATGCAGGCTGTTTGGTTTTGTAGATTCTAGGTATCTACAGTCACATTCTCTTGGTAGTCTATATTTGTAGTCTCAAGGGAATCAATTGGGAGGTGGAAGGGGGTACCTTTAAGCTGATAATCTCCATGAACACGATTAGGATTCCAGAATTATGCTAATTGAACCGTGGTGGTTATATGATTACATCATTGTTGCATACATATCTTGTTTCTAGTTGACTTGCATTAAAAGTGGGGTGGGGGACTGCGGGTATGCTTAATGAAGCTGATCATCTTCATAGACACAATTTGAATGCTGTGATTATGCATGTTGTCATGTTACTTATCATGATTTAAGTTCATTTCTGTTGCAATCTACTCATCTGCTGCCTTCTTCAAGTATCTGTATCAGCACTCTTTTTCCCACTGCTTCCAGTTCCACCACTCTATCGCTTCTTTCAGTTGCCTGATCTTGCATACTTCTAGTCATGTCAACCCTAACTCTTACACTGGAATGCATGCCTTCCATCACGAACATGCTCATTCAGAACATTCACAGTAGCCCTAAGTTACTGTTCTCTTCATTTAACGATGCTCATCCATTCATCTAGCTATTGTTGCTGGTCCACGAACCCCTGGAGGCATTTCAAAACGGGGGTCGCTAGGTTTCTGCATTTGGTTTCTTCAGAAAGTTAGCATTCCTCCCATCTCTTCACTCATAACATCTCTTGATATCGGTGTTGAATGGATGACTTTCGAACAATTGTGTTCTGTCTTTATCCAGGAAGCCTAAAGATTACAGATTCTATGTTGGGTGTGTCTACTGTGTTGCAGGGGTGAGTCTGTCTGTTATACTGTTGATTAGTCTCTCATGGTCCCCAGAGCAGACTTTGAACTAGAGAAATTAATGGGAGCTTTGATGGAATGAGATGAGTAGGTAGGTGGCTTAGCATTCCTCCATATCTACAACTTTTTAAGGATTTTTTTTCTGGTCAAAGTTGAGGGGCTGTTCTGGATGAGAAGCAAAGTTTAGGTGGCAGAACTAGAGTTAGTCATAGTTTGGTCCTCTCTCGATTATATTATTTTGTTCTGACGTTCAGTTCAGAACAAAGTGTCAGAGCCTCTCACTCGTATTAAAAATATGAACAAAGTATCAGAGTATTGAAAATAGCAAGATTCTTTTGGCTGAACTGAACTCCTGTGCTGGCTTCTGCTTGGTTTTATAATTCTGGGGGAGTTGGTCTCTCTTGCATTGCAAGCAAACAATAACGTCTTGTTCAGGCTGTATGTAGTGTGCCAACATAGAGAAAATTATGTCGGAGTATTCTGTTTTGGTTTATCTTCAATTAGGTCTCCTGTTCTTTGATTTCTTTCCAAGTGTATAGTAACTTGACCTGTCTAAAGTGTGGTTTATCTTCAATTTGGTCTCATCCACTTGTATTGCCTCCCTCTTTGCTTCTCCAGCTAACTCTAATTGATAGGCAAACCATGATTTCATTTTCATCTGCTACTTTTGATGGATTTCAATCCAACATTCAACATTTATCGCATTCCTTCTTATTCCCCACTATATTGTTCGTCTTGGTTCCATCTATGCTCCTTTAACCTCTCTCTCTTTCCATCTTCACTCCTAACCTATCTCAAATACCCGATGCTAGGGGTGTCGGTTCGAGTAACCAAACCCAAAAATCATAAAACCCAAAACAAGCCAAAACCTGCAAAACCTGAACCGAAACCTCCCTTATTGGGTTAAGGTCGGTTGCAGCAAACTCGGAACCCGAATACGTTTCTCTCCAACCTAAATAGCGAGCTCATACTCCCTTATTAAGTTTTTCGGGTCCTTATCAGGTTCAGTGACATCCAAACTTTGAGTTTTTCATCCTCTCATCAAGTTCTTTTGAAAGGCCCCCTTTCGTTCATTTAGAATAATAATAATATTATTAATTGTGAACAGTGTTCGTAAATGTGCTATGCATAAGATGGGGTGTGCTGCACCTTACTTAATGCCTAGCTCCCTTAGGCGTTAGACTAAAAATAACTTATAACAAATAGTGAATGAAATGATAGTATTGCAATACTTCTATATTTCAGATCAAATAATCGCTACTTATCTAACACTCCACAATAAGCAAAAAAAAACTTACAAATCCACGAAATCACATTTTAGTGCCTAGCGAAGTTCTTGAAAATGAAAAAAAATTAAACCAAACAAGTTTCGAGTTCTCACAAACAAGCAAACTCCAAACAAGTTTCATAATTAGTCCTCCTTTTCTTATTGTAAAAAATCATTTGGACTTATGAAAAACATCATTTTTTATTGTCTATTTGAAATCCTTTTTTGAATACTTGATACGAAAACAATTTTTAGAATAAATTATCATTATCATTATTTTCAATTATCATTATTTCTTATACTAATTGAATTATTCCCGGAAGCAAATATATCCTATGAATTTTGTTTAGTTGGAATTTATTTATTACTTGGTTATTTTCCATCTTTTTTTTCTAATTTTTTCAACCACTGGAATATGTTTAATTCTTTCTGATTGTGTTCATTTATCTTTCTTTGATCTTGATGTATTGATGATCGATTATATTCTATTTTAATTAGTGGTTTAAATAGATATTCTAATATTTATTTTAAATATTTATTATATATTCTAGTATATTTATTATTCATCTTTATATTCTAGTATATTTGTTATATATTAGTATATTTATTAATTTATCTATTTTATTGAAACTTTTTGATTAGCCAGTAATACTATATTTAAAAGTTTTCTAATTTCTATATGAGATAAAAACTTGTTGAAATATAGTTTTGGGTAGCAAAAAGTAATTAAAAGTTTGGGTTGGATGGAAAACTAGACAAATGCACATTTTGGTAACTTTAATGGTATCTCACGCCCTACTCAAATTTAAATAATATGTATATCTTTATTCTCAAATTTAAGTGGTACTCAAAATATTTTACCGAGTTTTCTCCGATGATTGTCCTCTGCTTTTCAGTCAACCATAGTGTTGCGATATGGCCGCTTCAGCTTATTCCTCATACCAGTTATTTTCAATGGATGCATACAACCATAGTGTTGCAATTTTTGCTTCTGAATTCTAACCCATATCTCAACATCACTGAAACACATTATAGACTCTTTTTGTCATTTTATAATAAGCAACTGGAAATAAAAATGCCAGGACCCACCATTGAGCACCTTCTATAAAAACCCGGAAAAGCGAAAATGCACGTTTCCACAATATGAACATTAAAATCTTCTACCGACTTCCATGCTGAAGGTCTGTTCATGGGTTTATGTTGCTTTGCATCACCTCCTAATTAAGGCTCAAGATCTTCAATCACGTTTTCTACCACAACATCAATATCACTCTGGTCGAACTTGACAATTTTGTTGTTTTTCTTACTAGCACAGGGCTCGCTCCGTTGGCCGGAAGAATTTTTTTTAGAAGTGGTTATACGGTCCGGTCCGGTTAAATTGACACAAATTGATCCGGTTTTAGTTCGGTCTTTTTGATAATATAAGGACCAAAGATGGATTGGATACAGTCTGGTCTTGATTTTAGATTGAGGTTGTGGGGATTTGAGTGGCTAAGCCTCAAAGGGCGAGGAGTTGGTTAAGTTTTGGGTGTTGGACTCTCTTATAAAGTTTTTCATCTAATCCCACACAGTTTTTTACCTCAAATCTAAGCCTAAAGATAGGATTGGATTGTTTGCTATCCAGTTCCAGTCCGGTCCCGGTCCGAGTTATACGGTGCAGTTTTTGGTAAAAGCAAATGGCCCGGACCAAATAGTCAGTCCTAATTTTGTCGAGGAATATGATATATAATAATGAATATAATAGATGATTTGAAATGCATGAAATGATTGTTTTCTACCTTAGTTATGCACATAACATTTTTGAAAATTATCCAACTATGCATAATATGTTTAGACTTTAGACCTCCATGAAAAGAGAAAAAAATATAATATAAGCATTACATATAATTATTGAATATATATATATATAACAAACTGTCATTCGTTACTTAATTAAATCATATAGTTGAATATTAGAGTTGCTTCTCATAATACATACATAATCAACCTTTAGAATTAAAGAAAATGTATAAGAGTTTATTATGTCCTTTAAGTTTTTCCCAATAGAGAGCATTTTTTTACCACACTGGTGGTAATGAATCTGAAGTTGCTTGATTTGAAATATATAGGACATGATGCTAAGTTGTCACTAATATTTAGTTGGACAATGTATGTGTACGGAATTCCCAAATTATTCTCAGATCGGAGAACAATGTAGTAATTTTCATGCAACAATTTTTTTTTCGTCAGATAATTCAATAAATAAAAACGTATGAAAATAATATTACTTGAAATATATGTTACTCATTAAGTTGATGAATGAGCGAGAATATGAGTAGCATACATTTATTTTAAAAAGATAGAAGTTGTGAAGTGTCTTTTGGGTTGCATGAGATCGCATATTCTCATTATCGCTAACTGACTTATGCCTTTTTAGCAATAGATACTTCAAAATGTGCCTTAAAACTTTTGTTTTCGCCAGTGTAAAAGAATTGTTTGAACCAAAGGATTGTAAAATGGTATCGAAAAAGTTGGTAGTAGAGTATTTTATACTGAAGTCATAATTTAACTGTGGTTCAACTGTTTCATATTGCTAATATCACCTATCAATTTAGCCTATGATGTGAATTTTTGTGGTCTAACCGTCGGTACATACGATCTTTCAATACAAACTTTAAATAAAAAACCACTAAAATATTGACATTAACAAATACCCCTTAAATCTCAGAAATTACAATAATCGTATTAAGGAAAATCTCCCAAATGATAATATTGATTTAGTATTTTAAATTCAAATGGAAAAATATGTCAAATATAATGTCATCTTCTAAAATAAATCAAAACTCAACGAAATAGGGCCAAGAATATCCACTAATCAAAGTAAAAGGGCAATTATTTCACACTACCTAATTTTCATTCTCTTTTAAATGTCATCTCACTCTCTCTTTGCCTTCCTCTTTGTTCTTCTCTCTCTCTCTCTCTCTCTCTCTCTCTCTCTCTCTCTCTCTCTCTCTCTCTCTCTGCTTTGTATCTCACAACTCACCCTCTTTTCCCTTCCTTTTTCTTCCCACCGCTTGGAATCGAGAGAAACCTAAAAACATCCCAGTTACTTCTCCAATTTTGCGTTCGAATTGCTTCTTCTCGATTCACAATCGATTGTGTGAATCAGAGCACTTGAAACCTGGCGAATAGATGATCGCTTATTCA